TAGGCACGACGCCACTATATAAGTAGATAGTATTTCCTTAGATAGGAGCTTCGTGCTCAACTCAATACAGTATTTGTTATATACTAGTAACGTGTTACTTGAAGCCTTTGTGTCTGATCCCCTGCCTCCTCTGATAAGTAAACCTTTACGCAAGAGAACCTCTGTGTCTTCTATCGTTTAGAAGTCAGCGTTACAGGGTGCTGTTATCCCAGCACTGCAGAGGTCAAACCACCCCTAGTAACACAGCAATCATAGCTTGTTTTGCTCTTGATTCATCTAGTTGTGGTTGTCTATATGCCTCCCCCTTAATCGAAATATCTGTTAATCTACCTTGATATCCAAAGGTAGTACTACCAACAATGTAATGGTGGGTGCACCTGATGTGAGAATCTAGCCACCCAAGGAAGGGGTGATTTTACTAAGACAACACACTGTCTTAGGAAAAAGAGCCAAAGGGTCGTAGCTTAGACTATTCCACAACGCAGCAATCAGGTGTATGATGTAGTGGAGTTGTTTAGACAAGTTGTAACAAATGTTGAGTCTGAGAACTCAGGGATAAGTCAGAGGTTAGAACCTCACTGACTTTTCAGAAACAAGGAGTAACAAGATCAATGCTTGAAAGCTTGGAAAAGACGTGGAAGTATGTGATAGTCAATTTACTGTATTGTCTGCTTGCCCTTTCTTAAGGAAAGGGCAATCCTATTTATGCTAAAGGAGTGTAGTTCTCTCATTTTCCAAGACTTTCCATGACTAACCAGGCTTGGTAACTGTAGTCGACGTAAGAGAATCCCATAGAACCATCTCCTAGGTTTCTAGCCTATAGGAAGTGAAAGGAGGTCCAAAGTCAGAGTACCCCTATAGACAGATTATGTCATAACCTAACCAATCTTGTGGGTAACTAAGGAGCGATGACGTGTAATGAATCATAGATGGTTGTAGAAGCTTTTGGAGCTATCGTTCATGTTCCTAGGCCTCTAGTTGATAGAAATATGTCATGTGTAGTATTAGCCCAGTAACTAAGGAGTGATGTCATGTAATGAATCATAGAGGGTTGTAGCAATCGTTGAGTAGTATTGCTCTTGTTGTTGGTGTGACAAGCCAAAATATGTATAGTGACTTGTAGGTTTGAGGAGGAGATTTCTAAGTTTGCTCTTGAGTTTGATAGCAAACTGAGTGCAACGAATGTCAGTATGACAAGCTGGGTTGCCTGTGTCCTTACAGCTATAATCATAACATAAACAAGAGAGGGATAGATTGGATTTAGCATTTTAAGAAGCATACAAAGCCCTAGACTGTTAGTGGTTATTGCCTGTTAGTCCTTAATGGTCATAAGAGCTACCACTTAGACGAGTTTAAGGAGTACTATAAAGAACACAACATTATTACGCTTTGTATGCCTACTTACTTTTCTCATATACTCTAGCCACTTGATGTTAGCTGTTTTAGCCCGTAAAAGAGAGCCTATAGTCGGCAAATTAAAGATATGATATAGGCTTAACGTACATGTATAGCGAAAGCGCCAAACAAGCGAAAGCGCCAAAATTATCTACCCTCACGACAAACATTGCGATAAATCTACCACAACATTAGAAATCAATTGAAACTACTCGGAGTCCTCTTCCTCAGAGGTGTCTATTACAATCTGACACGTGCGCGCATTGTGCCCAGTCTCACCACACTTGCCACAGCGACGGGCACGGGTTTCTTCCCTTGGCTTCCGACCACGGCTTGCCCTTATTTCCTGCTCTACCTGCTGCACAACATCCCTCTCATCCTGTAGCTCTTGCGCCCCTTGTTGACTAAGTGATCCTCCTTGCTGTAGTCGTGTTTTCCTAGCTCTCCGGCGCTTGCTTAGTACTTCATTTGCCTGTCGTAGGTTTTGGTTCTCTCCCTTTAGCAGTGCTAATTGATGCATTATTTGCGATGCACCCTTTGTAAACTGGTCAACAGCTGCATAGATTGAGGTTGGAGAGCTATTTTGATGGCGTGAAATCCGAGTTTTAATAAATGTAGACTGTGACATAGCTTCAATTGGGTTGTTTGGTGTCTGAGAAACCCAAGGTTGAGCAGTACCTGGGCGGGAGCTTGGAGGCGTTGGTGTCCTTAACTTAAGATCAAGTGTAGATATCACTCTCTCAGGGTCAAATGGAAGAAGCCCTGCCCCTCGGAACCCGCCTCAAATGTTACTTTCCGTCATTGTAGTGTTAAATGCAGCGTGGAAGGCAGGAAAGAAGTCATCCTTTGTAATATGAGAAATATGAGCCTGCATCATATCTTCAATTTGCCGACCATAGGCCTGCTTTAACGGGCCGAAACAGCCAACATCAAGTGGCTGGAGTAGATGAGAAGAGTGAGCAGGCATACAAAGCGTAATAATGTTGTGTTCCTTGCAGTACTCCTCAAACTCATCTGAGTGGTGGCTCTCATGACCATCAAGGACTAACAAGCGATAACCACCAACACTCCGGGCCTTTGTATGCTTCTCAAAGTGCTGAATCCAATCCATGCCTCTCTCGTTTGTAGTCCAGCCATTTTCAGTAACAGAAATCACCCAATCGCTTGAAAATCCACTATTCTCATACCAAGATGTAAGGTGGTTTTTGCCTGCAACAATGATAAATGGTGGTACTGCCCAACCTTGAGAACTAACGCCTTGGATTACTGTAACCCATTCCCGATTACCAGGCTGTACCTTCTTTGCTTTTGCCCGCCCGTCTGAGCTTGTTACAACCATAGCAGTTGAGATAACGCCCATCATAAACCCAGTCTCATCAAAGTTGTAGATATCTGCTTCATCGATACCATATTTCGCAATTGTGTTACGCACAAGCTCAAACCAGCCATTAATAACTTCTGGATCTTCGCACTTAGCCCTCTGGTAGTCGTATTTGCGCTGAAAGCGTGTCTGGAGCTCTACACGCCGCTTAACAAAGTTTGAAGCCCAACGCGACCCAACGCGTGACGCGTCGCGTGTTGCAAGTAGTCGACTTGCCATATCTTCAACAACAGACAGCCGAGGAGGAAACCCTTTGGCAGCTAGGTCGAGTATATACTGAACAAGGACGTACTCCTCTAGGTTAGTTAATTTCCGTGAGTTGGCTTGGATATCGCGTCGTGAAGGTACACCTTCTAGACGACGACCTAGCTTGCGGTGGTCCACAGAATAGATCCTAGCAGCAACTCGAAGGCGTAACTTTGGGTCGCTTTGCATAGCCTGGATAGCTAGCACTAATTGGCTTTCATCGTTTTTATGGGGCATGTTTTGTTGTTGAGGAATTTAACATTTAGTTGGGGGGTTTGGTCACCGCATCATTTTGGCGCTTTCGCTTGTTTGGCGCTTTCGCTATACATGTACGTTATATTATTCACATTACTAAGGATGACTTCTTTCCTGCCTTCCATGCTACATTTAACATTGTAATGACAGAAAGCAACATTTAAGGAAGCTTCCAAGGTGCTAGACTTCTCCCATTCAACCCTAAGGGTGTAATATCTACACTTGATCTTAAGGTTTAGAACGCTAACACCTCCAACCTCTCACCTAAACACCGCTTAACCATAGGTTTCTTAGACACTAAATAACCCAACTAAAGCCTCATCACAATTGCGCATCATTAAAATAGCTCTCTAACCTTAATCTATACAGCTGTTAACTAGTTTGCAAAGGGTGCATTGTATAATGCATTAATTAGCATTGTTAAAAGCAGAGAACTAAAACCTACGACAGGTAAATGAAGTGCTAAGCAAGCGCTTGTGCGATTCTTAATACCCCGTCTACAACCGCGTCGGAACAGCACAACATCGCACAGCATATATTACACAAATTGCCCTATCTGGCATTCTCGTGCGTCCCCGGATGTGAACCGGTGTCCCGGACGGAGTTATTCTCCCCAACTATCCAGTCCTGTGCCTATACGGTCCTTTACTATCCTTCCACTATCGTCCCACTATACAGGTGTTGTCACCTTAGTGTCTATGGGGCCATACCACACCAACGCCAGCCACCCAACCCCACACTCTCGAACTACAACAAACATCCCCCCCTCAAAAACATTCAACGACGTCTCTTCCCTAGCTATATATACTATAGTTATACCATATACTCACAGCTACTCGACATGATATAGACAAAACATTTCTATTGCCTCTCTTATCTTTCTCCATCCTGCCAGCCAATCTCTGGCAGCCATGTTCAGCGGTGGTATACTCCAAGTTGCCAGCGCGGGAGCCAGAGCCGCTCCAGGTATGTCATACCAACCTCTGTCTACTGTCTCTACATCCGCCCTTCAGCCTATAAATGCGCGTCCATAGCATTCATAGACATAAGGGTACTCCCCAGAGTTCATCCGTTCTGTGACCATCTATTCGTGGCTTGCTCGCCCGGCTTCTGGTGTGCCCTGGCCCCCTCCCTTCCCCCATGGCCTCCAGTTCGTGCGGCACTCACCCATCGTCTGTCTCCATGAAGTATCGCGCAGCGCTCCTCTCCATCTCCGCGGGATTCCCCCGTCGCATAGCCTCAATTCCGCATCCGTCCACCGGATACAGCGGGCATACTGCATCCGCGCTCCCTCAAACGCGCTTGGCACCCATCTGACGTTTCATACCACAGGTCCTCCAGGAGCAGCACCAGCCGAACCAAGCCAACCGCATGAGATCCCCCCCCCGACACCCGTCCGATTCCCCTCTCTCCTCCCTCGCGCCCCGGGCACCGCGCCACCCCCACCGGAAGACATCCCGCTACGCACCTACATCCGCGGCATCCAGCGGCCCGCCGACATAAAACTCACACACTTCGAAGCCCTCGGGCTACACATCATCCCCAACGCGCCCCTTACCTCCCTCCTGCCCGACCCCTCCTTCCTCCCCCCCTCCTCCTGGTCCACCCCGCTCCCCACCTCCTCCGACACCGACGCCGACGACCTCGACGACACCCCCCCATCCCACCTCCCCCGCTCAACAACGGCCGCCCCGCCCCCGGCCGCGCCACCTACAACGAGCGCATGAAAGAACTCTCCACCCCCAACTCCGCAGCCTTCCGCACCGTGCGCCGCCTCCCCTCCACCCCCACGGCCCGCCTCGGCAACGCCTACGAGTTCTTCAAGAACCTCGAGCTCATCTCCGGATTCTGGGTCGACACTTCCCTCTCCGGGCCCGAACCGCTCGCCGACCCCGAACCCGCGCACCAACGCATCCACATCCGTTCCGGCACCGGCTCCCAAACCCCTCCCGACTTCCGCGCCGCCCTGCTCGCCACGTTCGTCAAACTCGTCGCCTACGATTTCAGCTGCAATGTCTCCCTCCCCCGCGTCGAACCACGTCTCCACATCGGTCCCTCCGTCTCACCCCCCCAAACTCGACATTCCCCAACTCCTCCCCGCCATCCTCGTTTCCTACAAACATCTCCTTCATCTACCGCACCCCATCCGACTGCCTCTCCGCCCGCGGCGGCATCATCGAGGGACCCCTCGCCGCTCTGTCCGCGCGCCACGCTACATCCTTCGACAAACCCCTCGATGAGCTCCTCGATCTCGCCCGCGAAACTGCTGCGCTCTTCGTAGCAGCTCAGCAGCGCAACCGCGAAGGCAGGGAGGAAATAAAACACGACCCCGCCGACCCGGCGAAATGGTGGTGTTTCAAACCGCGCTGGGGCGGCGGACCAGGCGGCCCAATCGGGAAGGAAGAGGGTATGGCTGTTGCTCTAACTCCCGCCGCTACCCCTACAACCGCTGCCAAACCCGCACTAGACCTCCCTACCCCCTCCTCTACAGGCCCCCGCCCTCCCCCAAAACGCCGCCCAACCCGCAAAACAGCCTCCCTGTACGACGCATACCGCCAGCTCCGCCCCCCCTCCACGACCTGGGACCGGAAGGCGCGATATCAGTGTATCGGCCGGCAGCCCGGCGCGGAGTGGGATGATGTCTTCTTGGTGAGCTGTTTGAATCACCATGTTGCTATTTCGCGGTTGCGGGTTGGGAGGGGGGTGTTGGTGGGGCTGGAGGGCCTTGACGGGGTCGAGGGGGGGGATGGGGTTGGGCCAGGGTGTAAAGGGGGGGATGGGGAGGGGGGGGGAGTGACGGTGTGGAGGAGTAGGTGGTGGGATCTTTTTAGTGCGGAGGAGAGGGTTGAGGCTATGGGGCTGTGTGGGGGATGATGGGATGGTTGATGAGGGATGTTGAGGGGAGGGGGGCGGGGAGAGGATGGAGAGTGTTGAGGGGGGCGCTTAGACTGTACCGCTGCGGGCGGGGACATGTGGACGTGATGGGTGTGGGTGTTGATGTTTCTTACACTTAGAAAGGGGGGAGGTATAACTCAGTTATTTTCAGCATATCCAAAACAGCTTAGATTTTGTTTGAAGAGAGGAAATATATACACAACTACTGCTCGGAAGGATGAAAGTGCAGGTGTATGTGCATAAATATATATTAAAAGAGCGAATTCGAGCCCCATGCCCGTAACCGCCGAGGTGTATCTAGTTATTCCCATCCCATATACCATATTATCCCAGTATCCAACCCCCAAACCAATCCCAACCAAACCCCACCCCGCCCCCCCCCCTTTTTTACCTTTACCCTAAATATCCAACATACTCCTAACAACCTGCGGCTTCGCCCCCACAATCGTCGTCCCCGACGCCACACTCCCCGTACTCCCACTCCTTCCACACTCATCCCACGCCACCCCCGTCCCCGCCCCCGGCCCCCCCTCCCATCCATATCATCCCCCATCAAATACGCAATATCCGTCTTCTTCCTCTCTACAGGCGGCGTGAATAGTGCCATAGCAGCCTCTCGCACCCGCTCATCCAGCTCTGCCTCCCTGCGACTCTCGTGGCGCGCTAAGGCGCGGCCAGCGGGGGTGTTGTCAATCCGCACCTCGCGTTCGGCATTGCGTTTTGAGGGGAGGGGGGACATTTCTACGTCGTCCTTTGCTGACCAATCTGCGGCCCTTGGGGCACCGCTGACTTCCTGCGCGTTCCTCGCTAGGGCTTGCTGGACAGTCAGGTTGTGGTTACCGTTGAGACGGCGCCACCAGGGTGGTTTGCGGTTATACCCCATCTCCCTATCGAGTTCCTGGCCGCGGAGGCGGCGCTGGCGGATCAGCTCGCGGTCCTCGTTGGGGTACGTGTACCCAGCCACCTCGTAGATGATGAAGATAAGCACGATTGGCGCCCAGCCCAAGGAATAAATTATCGCCGGGGAAGCGGAGAGGTTGAGCGGGCTATGCGCAAACGAGAAAGCGGCGAGGAATTGGTACGCTACGATCGTGAGAGAGAGCGGGAGGGTGAGGAGGAAAGCCGGTGGGGTGGAGGCGAGGGTGCGCAGGAGGGAGGGGCGGGGGGTGTAGTAGTGCATGGAGTGGGCGAGGGAGAAGAGGATCGTGAGCCACGCGAAGAAGAGGAAGATGGCGCCGGCTTTGAAGCGGCCGTCTGTGGCTTGGGGGGCGGCAACTTGGAGGGATTGGGAGGGCGAGCGTTGGTAGGAGATTGGTGTCCAGTTGCGGGGGACGGCCATGAAGAAGTGCTGGGGGGGGTGTTAGTGGGGTGTTTTTTTCCGACTTGGGGGTGGGTGGGTGTAGGGGTCAGGTTAGGGGACTCACGAGGAAACCGAAGCCGTAGAAGACGAGGGGCATATAGAATTCCCTCCGGCCTCTTTTATCGTTTTGGCTTAGTATGAAGGGGTCTGGGTCGATGAGTTGGCGCTCTTGCCAACTGCCCCAGTGGCGCACGCTTTCCCACACGATGGCCAGTGTGCTGGGAATCATCAGGTACCAGAATATGGAGTTGAGGATTAGCGGCCACTCGGGGAGGTAGTAGCGGTCGACATCGACGCTGGTGAAGCCGCTGGCCATCCCACACCCTGCCACCCAGAGCATCCAGTACCATTGCCAGCGGCGTCCGATGGCGTGGAACCTCTTCTCAGATGGCAGGAAGAGCCTGCCGTGCTTGCGCAGGTGATCATTGTGAAGACAAGGCTGAGACCAAAGAAAACGCCTAGAGCAATACCGGGCTTCGCACGGTTCCCGAGTCCGTTCAAGGGGCTATAGCATGATGTTGTGTTGAGGAATGTGCCGTTGGGGAGGAGGTGGGGGGTGTATGACTCGAAGGTCAGGAAGCAGTTCGAATTATTCGAGAGCGTGCCGTTAGAGTAGAGGGTGTAGTTCCAGTGCTGGAGAGTTGTGAGATTGAAGTTTATACCCGCGATGACGGTGTCGCTGGCGTTGTTCCCGCCGGGGAAGGAGAGGACGTCGCGTGCGTCGAAGAGAGGCATCGTGATGGTGGGAGAGCTTCGGAGGCGCGGATGAGTGTCGGCTCGCGCTTAGAATCGCATTCACTCCTCGATTGAGCACATTTCTCGAGCTGGGGGCCGATCTATGGGTGATAATGATATGCTGGAGGGATTTGTTGATGAAGTTGCAAGGTTCGGACACAGTCCCAGTTTTTAGTTAAGGACTAACAAAACCATTTGGACTTGAGCCATGACGCACCGATCCATGGTCCAAGCTTCCCATAAACTTACGGATCGCGGCGAAACAATCCATCCGGTGCTCTCTGTGACGGCTTCACAAATCTTTGATATAACTTAGTGGCTAGTTAACACAGTCACAGTATCAACGCACTCACCATTTGCGACTTCACCATAATGCCAAAGCCAGTGTAGCATAATCCCACTACCACAACCAGCAGTCGCAATGGCCACCACCTCCAACAACTCAGCCGAAGCCTCCGACCCCTCCTACATCGACTACGAGCTCTTCCTCGATCCCTCCTTCTCCGCCCCCGCCTTCGCCAACACCCTCGTCCTCACCACCAACAACGCGACCGACTCCCCCCTCGACCTCTCCACCCCCCTCTCCAGCGTCCCTCTTCGACATCCAAGAAGTCGACTCCCACATCCACACCCTCACCTCCGCTTCCGCCCTCCCCCTCCTCTCGCACACCGAAACCCAAGCACACGCCTCAGAACACATCGTCAGCGAACTCTCCTCCCAAGCAGCCTCCCTAAACGACTCCTACAAACGCCTCGAGCAGGAAGTCATCTCGCGCCACGAAGCCGCTGAAGAAGTCCAACGCGTCTCCGAGCGCCTATGGCACACTGTCCGCCTAGGTCGCTCTGTCGGCCGCGCCCTCCAACTAGGTCGCCAGCTCGAAGTCCAGATGTCCGAGCAGCAGCCCCGTAACGCCCAGTCCCGCGATGACCACCGCTCCACTGTCCGCGCTTCAAACACAATTCTCTCCTGTCGCGCGCTGCTAGCCGCTAATGGCCCCGGCGAAGAGGGGGAGAACCTAGAGAAAGTCCACGCCATCGCCGCCTTACAGCGCGAACTGATCGCACCAGCTGAACGATCACTTCACGCCAAAGCCCAGCAAGTCGTGCGGGATTTCTCCATGTCAACACTCACCGGCTCCGGCAGCACCTACGCACAAGCTGAGGACGCAAAGTCCCGCGCACCTCCGCCTTACAGACGCTTTACCTGCTCTCCCCACAACCACCGAAGAGAGGGAAGAGCATAAGATTCGAAGCAGAGTGGATGGTACAATCCATCCAAGAGTACCTCCGCGTCGCCCTCACCACCTCCACAACCTCCATAATCCGCGCCCTCGGCGTCCTCCGCACCCTCGACGACGCACTCCTCCTCGTCTCCTCCCGGTGCCAAAACCTCGTCGCCCTCGAACTCCTGCTCTCCTCCCTCAAAGCCCCCACCCTCCCCTCGCTCTCCACGCCACCAAATTTCCTCGTCCCGGTACTAGCAGCGCTAGAGACGAATAGTCTCACCAGCTATTTTTGGCGTAGCCTTGCATCGGCGCTGTCGCCGCGCGTGCAGGAGCTGGTTAAGGCGGGGGGCATGCAGGCGAGGACGCTGAAGAGTAATAGGAATGCGGTTAGGGATATGGTGGCGGAGGCGGTGGCGAGGGGGTGTCAGGTTCCGAGTGGGGCGGGGAAGATGAGAGATGAGAGGCGGATGGCGGAGTGGGAGAGGGAGGTTGCTGTTATGGTTGGGGCGGTGGTTGGGGGGCTGGGGAGGTAGGATGGGGGTGGGTGATGAAGGAGATGGGGCCAGGTCGTACAGGGGATGTGGTTTCATTGCGACGAAGCCTGGGGGGGAGTGGATGCATCGCGTGGCCACGACGTGGGTCGGACGTCCTAATACGTTTACGAGAGGAGTGGCCGTAACCAGGTGGCGTGCCCCGAGGGTTTGCGTAAGTGCATGGAAAGGATACACGGATCCCTTACATTACTTGAAATAATAAGGCAGAGATGGCACGAAGGCTAGGAGCCCTGCTCGAGTTAGAACTCCGCTGCTGCAAGAGAAAGTGCCAAAGCGATGAAGGTAGCAGCAACGCACAGGCTGGTGCATAGGCCGGGATGATAGTAATCTCGGGGGAAATGGGAAGATCACGGGCCTTT